AAGAGGATCCCTACAAACCCCCTAATCGCCCCGAACAACACTATGTTTTGTCCTTATAATAGTGGAGAAAACCTTTCCTGATTCATTTTTACACCTACACTTAAAAGTTAAATATCTCCCTCTAGGCAAGCCAAGGGCCGCTAATATTTTAACCCTGATAGTTTGGTACTGAGAGCTTTCATTTGATGCTAATAAACCCTGGTTTTTCGCTTATCACTTGAAACACCTCCATTGTGAGTTGACTTCAGCAAAGGATTGCCTTCACGTTTTCGACATGGTTGACCGGATTGAAACAATAAGTGTAGTTACCTAAAAATTTAGCAGTAGCACTTTCTTCCTGTGGTTAACATATGATGTATTGGCTCGAATTTCTACAAGCTGAATATGTGAGCATGAATGTAGAATGTTGATAATCGTATGTTCTTCCGGCCGTCACGTCAATGTTTTCCGTATGAGTTTTTTGCTGTTATAGATTGCTGCCATGTTGATTATATTATGGGAGGCATAGAAGGGGTTTCGTAGCGTCACGGAAAACGCTATGAGCGACATCAAGGGGATGCTTCTACACTTACTATATTAACATCAACTTGGAAGTTCTGGAATAGTCACATCGTCTGTAGTGTGTTGAACGTAATGACAATGGCATATAGACTCACATGGGAGTCTTTTAGTATCATTTGTATTGCAAAAAGTCTTGGCTTTATGATTCTTCTAGAATATCAATTACTTGTCGTCTGTTTTGGTAGTGTAGGATATGCCGCAGGTCCTAGAAAGCAACAAATGTATGGCGTCTAGAAGCATGATTGGTTGAATTGGCTTCACATGCTTTGCTTTTTGCAAAATATTCACTGTTTCCCAGCTGCACGAACTTTCTCAATTTCATCAAGTCACTTACCAATACCAAATGCGTCGACTTAGAGAGTTCTCTGATACATACAAAGTACTAGTTTGGTTTCTTCCCGAAATACAGGCGTCACTTTCAATCAACCTAAGGCGCCGACCCATTCGCGTTGTGAAAACTATGGGATCCGCATGGGCTCTTGTATTTAAATTGGGTGTGGGTGGGTGTAGATATTGCTTCATACAAGATGAACCCACACCTACACCCTAGATTGAAACGATATTAATCTCGAGTCTAAATGTTGCCCTTAATTTTATCACTATGTCGAATACGTCAACAAGAATCAAAGTAGGCTTAATATCAAATATCAGAACAAAACTTGCTGCAAATCTTGATATTGATGGAACAGCAATCAGTAGTGGAGATTGGTCTGGTGGTGAAGTATAAATTGATTAATTGAATTGCCAACTGATCTTGTATATTATTGATCTTTTTTTCTCTTTAGTATGAAATGAAATAATAACATATTTCTTTGTTTTAAGAAATAACTGGTAAAATCAGTGAAGTTGATGATGAAGAAGATGGAAATGTAGATGTTGTAGCATCAACAAAAGGTCAATCAGTCCCACTAGCTTGGGCACAAAATTCCAAATTATCAATTGATCATATGTAAAATGATTCATTTCAATCAGCAATGCGTTTGTTACATCGTCAAATTAGAATTGTTTGTTTTGATGAATATAAACAATTATTTCTTGAAATATATTCATGTTCATCTAGAGCTCTGAACAGCACTATCATCATTATATAAATATCCATTAAGAAATTAGTTTTTTTTTACTTATTTGTTTATCTAATAAATATTTTAAAATTTTTATTTCAATTGTTAAGGCATGATGAACATTCACCAAAAGGTATTTTATTCAGCAGTTCAATTAAAATTAAAAGAATTAGTTAGACGTCTTCAAATTGTCTATCGTTTAACAAAAAATGAAAAATTTCAAGATGAAGAATGATTCGAAATATGTAGAGAATATATTGTTGCTTTACAAATGTCAATGGTAGAAAAAATTTTAGTAAAGAATGATGAACAGCGTTCATATGAATTAGTTACTTATTTAACTGATTTACAATTAGAACCAATACATAAAATGATGACATTAAAATCTGAACTTAATCAAACAGTTAAATAAAAATACATTGTAAAACTGCAACAAGCTTCTCTAAACGTTTATTGAAATTGGGATCACTAAGTGATATTACTCATCAGCTTTTTTTGTTTTACTATTAATATTTCATTTCCAAACCAAACATTTTCTTTCTGAACTTTAGCTTTGAAAAGTTTTAAAATAAACAAAAAAAAAAGAAAGAAAACATTTTTAATGCATTCAATATATGTCAAATTTGTTGTTCGAAATTTTTTATGTTTTGTCGATTTATTCGAAAACAATTTAGTTTATTCTTTGTTAGATGAAACATAAGACGGACAAAAACAAAAATAAAAAAAAAGCTTATTTGTTTTATTATTCTGTTTAGGTATGAAAAATATTAAGTGTTTGTAAAAAAATCGAATTGGTAAACATCGATTAGATAATGATGAATATAATTTATTTGATATTTGTGCTGCACTCTTATCTAACAATTTATCGACATGAAATCAAATTTAGTTTAAAGTAATCTTTAATTCTTGTTTAGTGAAAATTATGAATAATAAGCTAAAGAAAATCTTTTTTACTTCATTATCATTATCAATACTTGATGTCATAAATTGTCCTGAATAAAAAAGTTGTTTAGTCTTTCCTGAATGATTATTCGAACGTGTACTAGTTTCAACTTTCAATCTTTTTGCCGATCGAGACATTTGAACACAAAATACAAATATAAAACAGTTTTTCTTTTGTATACCAAGTAAACAAATATATCAAGAATAGCTTCCTTCTCGAAAACTAACTTATCATATGATTTTTGAAAGAACGATGGAAGCGACACCACTCATTTGCTTTCTAATAGTTGTTTTATTGATCCAATTGGTCTTTTGTCTAAATAAATTATTATGCATATGTCATTGTAACGTCACGTAAGAGAGTATATCATTTGTTGACGATGTTTGAATTGAACGATGTCATTAATCTTTCATTTTTTCAATGACTTAATCTATTCTATTCCATAATGATGGAAGCTGCTGTTATAAACAAACAATGAATATAAATCTATATAAAGTTATATTTTTGAGAAGTGTCATAGTCAGAATAAAATATGAGTCGATCAAATGTTAATCTATTGAATTTACCTGACGAGATACTACTTCTTATTTTGAAAAAACTGAACAATATTGATGTTCTTTATTCATTTATCGACGCTAATAATGATCATTTGGACAGTGTAGCACGAGAAAAAATCTTCAGTGATACTCTCAATTTTGTATCCATCGATAACGTTTCTGCAATTGATCAACAGAAACCTGATCGGTTTTGCAAGGTTATTTTGCCAAAAATTCATGAAAATGTCAAATGTTTTATTCTTGAACCACTTTCAATGAAACGTATTCTTCTTGCTGCTGAGTATTCAAATCTAACTGAACTTAAACTTTTTAATTTCACGTAAGATGTTGACTTAAATTATTCTACAAGTAAGAAAGAAAACAGATAGTGATGTTAAATAGAACAAGTTATAGAATAATTTATTATTTCATATTTAGATGAATCATCTCTTCGATATATCTTTCAACAAAAACTTACACATCTTATTCTCGTAAATATTGACGAACGGACTCGGATAGAATCATTGAAAAGCTATAATAGAAATATATATGAACATATTTTGAAGTTCTTTAGAAATTTAAAACATTTGAGTATTATTGAAGCACATAATCGATCATATCCATCTTGTGATTCACCATCAATTAGTTTTTCCTCTGCAACTCTTTCTTATTTATCTATCAATGTGAGCATATTTGATGATTGTCTTTATTTACTTGATGGTCGACTCAAACAGCTAACTACACTTATTGTTCAAATATGTAAAACTAGCAAATCTTCATCAGTCATTCCCATTACGGTAAGTTTTAACAAAGAATTTGACATTCTTATGAAGTTGACTACCAATTCTATAAACTTTTGTATTAATAAATATTCTTTTTTTTATTACATAGAGTAATTTTCCTAATTTGAAATGTTTTTCATTGACATGTTATTTTCTATTTGATATATATGATGAACACATTTTACCTCTTCATCGTATGACATATCTAGAAAAATTAATTTTTTATCTTTGTATAAAAATCTGAGATAGATTTATCGATCGTTCTCATCTTCAAAATGAAATTCTTCTTTATATGCCACGTCTTCATTCATTTACTTTTTATATTAGTACTTCTGATCGTGCTGCTGATTTATTTCGTTATGTACCTAGACAAGATATTCAACGAATTTATGCAAATATTGGACACGAACAATATATGGCTAATATGATAAATTATATCAGTATTGATGAAGCTGTATATTCTATCTTCTCACTTCCTTTTGCATTTCATAGGATTCGAGCTGTTGGAAACATATTTCCAGATATTGTATTCAAATATGTTATGAACTTAGTGGTACATGATATAGTTCCATTCACTTATGAATTCTTTCTTCGGGGTTTCTCGAACTTTTCCATTACTGCAGACACTTCATGTTATAAATCTTATATTACAATCGTCGTGCGACATTAACTCCTTTTTATCTAATGATAGTCAATCATGTTCAATCGCTAAATATCCTCATCTTACCACATTTAACGTCAGACGGGGAAATATTAACAATGTTGAAGAATTTTTAAATGAAACGAAAACATCTGTACCATGTCTAACCAAATTAATGATTAAATACAATGATTTGAGAATTGTGACGAAAAACTTTACAAGAGAAGAAACACAACACAATTGTAAGAAGATAAGAGAACTTTTACTGTTCAACATACAGATACAAAAGAAAGATTTTTACCATTACTTTCCTTCGTTGTTATAAATGAAATTTTGTTTTGATTTGTTCAATAAATTGAAAAAAGAACATGATGAATGTTGTATTTCGATGAATGCTTTAATTAAGATATAAAGAAATATCGACTATTTATGATATTCTACTAACAATTACTCTTAAGATGGTGATACTTAGAAAGAGGATTATAGAAGACATGAAAACAGTTCTAAAAATCAAATCAGCATGTTCCGTTCGTATCTTTGCACATTATAAAATAAAATTTTAGGCCCATTAAGAAAGCTTCACTCCTCAAGACAAATGAGACAAAACATAGATTTTAAGCAATTCTCTAAAAATTGATTTTCTAAATGACTTTTGTACGTCTATTTATCAGTGGCAGTGGAATTGATACTTCGTTCTCGGAAATAGCTTTCGGCTTCTGTACTATGGGGATTGTATTGAATATTCAAGATAGATTGAAGTTATAGTGAAGAGTTGGTAGTAATATATTTTGCTCAATATAATGATTAGAGACCTGCATAACCAAAGAAAAAAAAGATTGTTCGATAAGAGGTCAAGCATAAGAGAGGTCCAGGCAGAGGAAAAAAGGAAGGGTCAGCAAAAATAGACATTTTTTGACAAGAAGGAAAAAAAGCGATCTGTGATTTTGTGATCTAAACTGAATTAAGATTATTTTCGTGATTTGAAAATGAGTTCGTATGATTTAAATCATGTATATAATTCTATAAATGAACTTTTAGTGTTATCTACAACTCTTATCTTTTATGTAGCAAATAATTGAAATTATTCGCTGTTTTGTTCGATTCTATTCAGATGCGGATCAGATAATTGCTATGCTAATGAAGTAGTGTACCAGAAAAAGCTTAGAATTTGCGTCTATATATACGTCTGGAAAAAAATATTTATAGTTCGTATTTTTAGTATATTGTCACTATAAAAACCCAGAATATTTAAAACTAATTAAATATTCTGAAAGCATGTGGAGTTTTCTATCAGCCTACATATTTATGTTTTGGTTTGCACTTATGCATAACGATAATAAATGTAGTACAATGAAGGTACCATAAATGTCTAGATTCCCTAACAACAAAATTTTGTCAATGACATGAAAATAGTTTTTAAATTTTTTATCACTAGAGCAGTTCTTTTTGAACAAACTAATTATATATTCTGATAAAGCTTGAAATTCTTTATCATCCTATATATTTATCTATTGTCTTGACTATACTTATTCAGCAGAAAAATCAAGTATATTGAATATTATCTCAATTTAGAAGGATCAAAAATCTTTATTTTTCAGTCTTGTTCTACAGTCGTTAGTATATATAGGCACTTTGTGGAATATAATCATATATTCTTATAGAGCTTCAAATACTCTATCATCTTCTATATTTTTCTTCTATACTACATTTGTGTGCTACATGTAATAGATCGAAGACAATGCAAAAACATACTGGATGGTACAGATTTTCAAGCGCTATTAAAATCTATAATTAGTTTTGTGTGAAAATTTAGATATGTAAAATAATAATTTAAAAAAACTTACAAGATTATCGAAAAAAAAAATAAAGATTTTTGATCCTTCTAAATTGAGATAATATTCAATATACTTGATTTTTCTGCTGAATAAGTATAGTCAAGACAATAGATAAATATATCGGATGATAAAGAATTTCAACTTTATCAGAATATATAATTAGTTAGTGATAAAAAGTTTAAAAACTAATTTTCATGACATTGACAAAATTTTGTTGTTAGAGAATCTGGACATTTATGGTGCCTTCATTGTACTACATTTATTAACGTTATGCATAAGTGCAAACCAAAACATAAATATGTAGGCGGATAGAAAACTCCATATGCTTTCAGAAAATTTAATTAGTTTTTAATATTCTGGGTTTTTATAGTGACAATATACTAAAAATACAGACTATAACTATTTTTTTTCCAGACGTATATATCATATTCATTTGATATTGCGTACAATGATCGCTTTCAAATCAAAAGTCATATTATATGATCTCCTTCTAACTCTTTTATACTATTGTATTAAGTCACATTCATTATGACTATCAGATAGACTAGACGTTAATTAGTTTTCAAATATAGAATGAGAAAGATACACTGTTTAGTTCCCTCAGAACAAAAATCTAATATATACGAGAAAAAAAATATAGAAAAATTGTATTTATTCTTTTTGATTCAGTTGAATCGATTAGTAGAAAAAATAGGTATAGTTTTTGATACATAATAATTTGTAGTCTGTTCATCCCTAGAGATATGTAGTGTCCGTGTTGACACCGAAATACCGATAATGAAGTACTGACTACACCAATCTCGGCGTTTGATGAAACAATCAGATATTAATTCTGTCAGAATGTTTGTCTCTTATGTTACGCTTAAAATTATTAATAAGATGTACTGAAAAGAGTACTTCTACACTTTCAAAATACATCGTAAGTTTGGCCAATATGTTGAACGATGATGCCATGTTCACAAAAATAGATCACTTCTAGTTCTGCTTTAAGACATTAATACGAGTTTCGATCTATAGTCCTGAGAGTGTGGGTGTGGATGCGACTGTGCTGTGGTTGTATGCATACTCCATTCAGCATTCACGCACACCCACATTCCACGCACCCACACCCACACCCATACCCTAATTTCAAACAAGGTCTAATGTTAAAATAAGAAACCAACAGGATGATCGGATTTCGAATGCATCAAAGATTTTCCAATTATGGGATTTGGCTGTTGGAATTGTATACCAAGCATTCCGACGATTTTCAACAGGATCTGAACCTGGGATTCGTCGACCTGGGTTGGGAATGTTCCCTCATAAGTTTGTTTTTTTGATTGTATTTCATTTTTTTAAATCATCTTATGGCAAATAATTACATTAAGTATTGTAGACAAACTACACTGAAAAGAAATTTTTACTTTTCAATAGATTCTAGTTCATATTTTTGTTAAATAACTATGCTAGATATAACGTAAAGAGTTATACGAAAAAATGCAGAAATATCAACAAGAAACACTGTCTCATTGAAAGTTTGTTTGATTCAAAACAATCGGACCTGATGAAATAGGACTTTGATATACTAAATGAAATGTTTTGATCGAAATCGAATAGTCAC